GCAAGACATCTGGCCACTTCCCGAGTCACTTTTTTGGTCCTGCGGGCGCCAGCCGCGCGGAGCCCCGCCCGTATCCAGTCGAGCCGGGCGAGCGGACCAGAGGCGGTCACGCTCCGGCCTTCCTCGCCCGCCGCCCGCCGAGGTACGCGCGGCTCCCGACCCACACACCGAGCCCTGCGCGCCTGGCCTTGGGGCTCGGCCGCCTTCCTGGTGGGGGCTGCCTTTCGCGCAGATGGCCTGGCGCGCTCGCCGGACTCGGCTGCGTTGTCCTGGGTGCAGGGATTGTGGCGGGGACCCCTGAGAGCCGGGAACCAGACTGCGTGGGCTTGGTGTTGGGGCCGAGGTGGGGGGACGTCTGTCCGGGTGGTGGACCCGAACGGAAGGGCTGTCCCACGGGGTCTCCGGCTTGCGACGGCGCTGCCACCTCCCCTCCAGTCCCCAGAGTGGGCTGAAGGCATTGGGAGGGTGTTTTCCATGAAAGGAGCGCCCGGGGCGCTCCAGGGCCGGGCGGGGGCGAAGGCAGAGGGAGACTCAGGCTCTGTCGCTGTTTGCTTTGCAGCCAGGCCAGATCTACGCGTGTCTTGTCGGTCCCGCAGTCACCCTCCCGAGTCCTGGCCGTCAGGTCGATCCGGCCGTCGGCGATGTTTTATTTCCACTGTCCGCCACAGCTAGAGGGTGAGTAAGCGCCGTGCCAGGAGCTGCTCCAAAAGGCCGGCGCCGGCCAGAAAGGGCCATAGCAGCAGCTGGGGCTGGTTGGTGGTTGGGTCCCTGCTCAGCGAGGGGCGCAGCCGCCGGAGGTGGGTAGAGGCGCCTTTGGCCCTCTCCCCACATCCGGCTCCAGCCTTCCGCCCCATTGCCACCTGCCTCCTACCTCCCCCCGCCCCCACCGGGCCTGGGCGGGTTGGCCCCCGGGCTATGAGCGCTGCCAGGACCGGCGGATCCTCCCAGCACAGATGCTGGTGTCACGCCTCTAATCTGGGCTCCCCTGCCCAGGGGGCCGCATCAATCTTTCACGGTGTTTTGCAAACATCCGGATAAGCGGCGGTGGACTAGGTGACCCACAGGGCCCTGGGCCAGACGTGAGCAGGAGCCCCCGCTGCCAGGCTGCTCTCACTCCCTACCCAAGGCCGTCTTGCTTGGCCAGGCCAACGTGGCCCTCAGGAGCAGGGGGCCCTGCGCACCACTTCCAGAAGTGCCCTGGCATGGCTGCTCCTCTGTGACTCACTGGGTTTCCGACCTCAGATGCTAGCCACTTCCCACTCCCACGGCCAGCCCATGACCAGGGTTTGGGTCTTTGAGGGTCTCCAGTTCTTAGAAGAAATTTCGCTTCAGGATCCTTGGTGTGGTCTCTGAACTGGGTTGTCAGGCGGGGGTAGGTTGGTGAGAAGGAAATAGCTTGGATTCCTGGTCTTGGGGGCTCCCCGGGGGTGGGCCCTCCATACAAGAAGGGGATTTCTATGTATCAGGCAAATGCAAAGCCACACACTCTGGCCCTTTAACAGCGCCTTCCTCAGACCAGTAGTCTCAGCCATGGGCTACTAGGACTTCTATAACTGGGAGCAGTACCAGGACTTGGCTTTGGCAACCTACTCCTTCGGGGGGTGGGGGTGGGCAGTGAGTGAATTTTGGAGGGGAAGAAATCGAGAAAGGCACGGGGCAGGGCAAAACGTGGTGAGACACTGGGGGGACCTGAAACATCAGAGCATGCTCCTTCACCTTGCCCCGGTTACCTTGAGCAGTAGCCGGCCTCAGCTGGCCAGTGTACACAGGGATTTCAGAAAGTTTGTTTTGTTTTTCCCATGGAAGCTTTTAAAAGTTCAGTAGCATTTTCTAAAGGAGGCTAATGAACACCAGGGTTCAAGCCCTGCCAGCCCGATCAGCATTCCTAAGAAGGGAAGGCCAGACACTTGGCTGCATTTCACCTCCTTTTACTTCCAATGACCCATGCAGATGGGCTTTATAAAGGTCTGAGAGGTTCACTCCCTGACACCTAGGACTGCAGGGAGATCCTCTGCTTGTGCAGTGGACACACCTTTTCTGCATCTCTGAACCTCAGGTTTGGACTGATTGATACTCGGCAGCCCACTCTTCCAGTTAAAGTGGGAAGGTTGAGGTGTGGGCATTTAGCAGATGGTGGGCTGCCTGGGTGACTGAAGGGGAAAGCCCAGTCTGCAGGGTAGGTTGCAGAAGTCACCTGGGGAGAGCCCTGGCCAGCCTGTCGTGGCCCCAGCACACGGAGCTGCTTGCTGCCCTCAGCTCAGCTTAGCTCACCTTTCCTTCCCACACCTGGGGCACATCCCACCTCAACACTTATTCTGATTGCTGTGACCAGAAGAAAAGGAGATGGGTCTTTAAGAACTTTTTTATTCCTCTGCAGATGTGTTTCAAAGGCAGTTTTACAGAAACGGGTGTTTTATTTTAGTTTAGTATTGCTGTGGGAGGAGGTGACCTGCTGCCGATGGAAAGGCTGAGGACAGATCCTTGGAATCTGACTTCTCATTATTGCCTATCATCTTTTTAATTGTAATTTTTTATTAATCTAGAGAGGCATATAAGAGAAAGCAAAGCATGGCTCATAATCTCCCTTCTCAGATAATTTTGCTGATATTAAACTAGAAAGTATTACATCTACCTGCTTAGGAAATTCAAATAGAACAGAAACTTACACACTGAAAAGTAAATCCTCCTTCTCTACCTCTTTTTCTAAAGATACCCCCTATTGTTGGTTTCTTGTGATTCCTTCAAGAAAAACATGCTATCACCTGCGTTTACCCTCATTTATGTATTTTTCCTTTATATGTTATGCCTTATTTGTGCTGAGATCATACTGGTACATCATTCAGGACTTTCCTTTTTTCACTTTATAATACAGATTTTGGCGATTTTTCCGTGTCAATGTATGCAGATCTACTGGCTTCTTTTATTATCTTTTAAATTTATTTTTAAAATAAATATATTTACTTATTTGTTTTTATTTTTGGCTTTGTTGGGTCTTCGTTGCTGTGCGTGGGCTTCCTCTGGTTGTGGTGAGTGGGGGCTACTCTTCGTTGTGGTGCGCGGGCTTCTCCTTGTGGTGGCTTCTTTTGTTGCGGAGCCTGGTGCACGGGCTCAGTAGTTGTGACACGTGGGCTTAGTTGCTCCACGGCATGTGGGATCTTCCCGGGCCAGGGATCGAACCCATGTCCCCTGCACTGGCAGGCAGATTCTTCTTCTTTCTTTTTTTTTTTTTTATAAATTTATTTATTTATTTTTTTGGCTGTGTTGGGTCTTCATTTCTGTGCGAGGGCTTTCTCTAGTTGCGGCGAGCAGGGGCCACTCTTCATCGCAGTGCGCGGGCCTCTCACTGTCGCGGCCTCTCTTGTTGCGGAGCACAGGCTCCAGACGCGCAGGCTCAGTAGCTGTGGCTCATGGGCCCAGTTGCTCCGCGGCATGTGGGATCTTCCTAGACCAGGGCTCGAACCCGTATCCCCTGCATTGGCAGGCAGATTCTCAACCACTGCGCCACCAGAGAAGCCCCGGCAGGCGGATTCTTGACCACTGCACCACCAGGGAAGCCTGACTGGCTTCTTTTAAATAGCTGTGTAGTATTCCATTATATATTGTTCAGAAGGTGCCTACAGTTGTGCACTTTGGTTGTTTCCTTTTTTTTTTTTCCTGTTACCATGTTACCAGGAACAATATTCTCGCTCCATTTTGGCACACTTTTAAAGTATATTCATAGACTACATACCTGTATGTGCACTTAAAGTTTTGATGGATGTTGTCAAATTACCCTCTAATAAGGCTGCACAAATTCATGCTCCTACAAATGGAGAATAGTGTGTGCAATTCATTATGCTTTTAACTGTACTGGGTATAACTGTGCAGCTTATTTTTTTGGCAAAAATGTTTTGTTTAATTATTGCAAGGTTTAACATTTTCATAACATTATCAACCATTCTATTTATTCTTAAGTAAGAAGCCTGTTCTCATAATTTCCTCTTTTCTATTAGGTTGTCAATTGTTGTTCTTATTAATTTGATGAACTGTCAGCTGTTTTTAGGATCCAGTTTGACATGCAGTGTTTCACTTAAAGATGTTATATGTACACTTTGTGAAACAATTTGGGACAAGCAGGTAGAAGTTTGTGAGGCTGATCGTGATTTGAGAGCCTCAGAGCTCGCATTTCATCCTCACCAGTCAAGTGCTTTGTTTTAAAAGGAAACTGTTTGGTTTCCCACAAAATAATGGAAATAAGACCGCTTTGAGGCTGTCCCTTTGAAGTTCCCAATGAGCTGGAGAGAAATATTTGTAACTAGGATTTTGAGGAAGGAAGCAATTTGGATGGGATGGTGGAGGGAGAAGTCTTCACCAGAGAGTGGAGGTCTTGTGACCAAGGATGTGCACTGGGGAGTTGAATAATAAGTAGGAGGGACTCCATTTAGCAGATAGAATTTTAAAAAGCCGAAGGACCTTGCTTCTTTGGGACTGAGGTCCTTCGGAGGGATGATGCCGGGGCAGTGTCACTAGCCAGCTCCTAATGGCGAACATGCAATGATTCTGAGACCGGAGCCCATGGCAGGTACAGCGTTCACTGGCTAATGGGAACTTGCTCATTTGTTTTCCTAAGAAGCCAAGTAAATGGTGGACTGTCAAGTAAATGGTGCACATTTGGAAAATGATCTGAATGCACATTTGGGGCCAAACTCTGCTGTGGCTTAATCCGAGCTTTGGAGGCTGGCAGGGAGGACTGTGGTGCCTTTCTTTTCACGGAAGTGGGAGTAGTGGGTCTTTTATGAGCCTGGCCAGAGGCTCCTGTTTAAGTCTGCTTGGAATTCAGGACAGTCGCTATTGGTGCCGATTTCTCGTTAATTGACATCTATATAACAGATCCACTAGAGTGCTCATGAGCTGTGACCAACAGTATTGATATTCATTTATAAACTTCCTACCTCCTCGTGTCCTGAAGTTCTAGGAGAAAAGTGCTGGGAAAAGCTCTTGGTGATTTCATTCCTCCCCTATCCCCAGCCTTTAATTCTTATTGTTGTAGAAACAAGGGAAAGTAAAATAACAAGTGAGCAAGAGGGAAACGTAGAGGCTTTTATTAAAGGATCAGAGGTGGAAGGGATGAGCTGAAGGCACATTGGACAGAGGTGCAGGCAGCTGGGAGTCAGAGGGCCGATGAAGGCTCCATCTCAAGTTAGTGACCCTTCCTGGCTCAGAGTCTAGAATTTCACAAGTGGACTTGGCTGTCTAGGGGAGTAAGGTCTCCACTCACCCTATGAAATAGGCATAGTTAGGCCTAAAGTCAGAGATTACTGGGAGAGAGAGAAAGCATGAGAGAGTGAAAAAGAGGGAGCCTTAATAACAGGAGCAGAGAAAGATGCTTTAGGACAGACAGGACTCCGTCTGGGTGGGATGGGTCACTGAGGGAGTGTGCATGGCAGGGGCTCAGTGTGAAGACTGGGGGGCCCTGTGCTCAGGCTGCTCCAGTTTGCTCCCTGCAGGCACTGCACCCTTTGGCAACCACTCTACAGGAGATTTCGATGATGGGTTTCTGCGGAGAAAACAGCGCCGGAACCGGACCACGTTCACTCTTCAGCAGGTAATGATGTTCCCCTTCTGAGAGCCATCCACTTCCTGCCTCCAAATTAATCAGAGTTTGAGCAGCTCTTCTTTGTCTTTTAAAATAAAGCCAACTGATCATGTTAACTGGATCTTTCTGTTTTCTTGAACAATTCACGTGTCAAGGGATCTGTCTGGGGAGAGGGCAGAGGACTGTGACGTTATGATCCCAGATAGTCAGTGAAGAGGCAATGATGACGGCGCCCTTTTGTCTCAAGTTGATAGTTTGGGGAACATTTCCACATCAGCAATACAGCAACATCATTTCAACTTCGAAATAACCTTCTGAGGAAGGCAGGTCAGGTGTTCTCATCCCCAGGAGATAAATGAGAAAACCGGGGCCCAAGAGGTTGACTGATTTGTAGAAGGTATTGTCGTCCGTAAGTGGAAGGGCTACAACTGGAACCTTGATATTGTCTTTCCAGGGCCGTGGCTCCTTCCCTTAGATCCGTTTGTCTCCCAGAGCACACTGGAGCAGAAACCCTAGGCAGTTTCTGTGGGACTGACCCAGTGAGGGCTTCTGCAAGTTGATTCTGTTCTTCCAAGCTCTATAATGAAAGCTGCGTGGGTTGCACTTTAAATGTAAATGCATTCAGATGTTTGTGCCTCTCTTATTTCTACCTCTTGGGGTAGCACTGAGGTTGTTAGTAAGTCTTAGCTCCCAAGTCTTCCGCGGTTGAAATTTTAATTCTGTGGGATCTTTTCAAAGAGCATTTTTCTCCCTCTCTTCCCCTACTTGATCTGTGAAACTACTTCCTCACCACACATAGCAAATTTGAAATATGCATCTGCTTCCTCTCACCTAGCCACATCCTCTCACAAGTAAATATTTTTTTTCCTTTTACCAGCTGGAAGCTCTGGAGGCAGTTTTTGCCCAAACGCACTACCCTGATGTCTTCACCAGAGAAGAGCTAGCCATGAAAATCAACCTCACAGAAGCCAGAGTGCAGGTAAACCTTCTTTTTAATTATTTAACTCTCTAATATTAAAACTGGCAAACTTTTTTTTTTTTTTGACATCATGACTGCAGAGTGCACATTTGGCCAAAGAAAGCAAATGAAGACTATCTGTCATTTTCATGATGCACTTTAATAACATCAACATAATGTGGAATATTAGATTAGGTTGATTAATCGGTCATTCATAATTAACTAGTGATAATGTTCTACACTAATTTGTCCGCGTCTCTAAGGTACTAAATTACATCAATGCACATCCATTTCCTTGCTTTGGAAAAAAAAAAAAAAAAGAGCTGAGATGCTATTCTCAAAGCAGCTCTGACCGCTCTGGGGTAAGGCCGGTCAATTGCAGAGAACTGTGTTTTCGTATGAGAACAGAGTAGGATCTGCTTTCCAGAAATTGCATCATGTCCAACTTTTCCCCAGCTCGCGGACTCTTTCAGCGAAGTGGTCCGAAGAACATGGGCAATTTAAAAATCTTTAAACGGCAGCAGCAAAAGGGCTGCCTCAGAGCCGAGCGTGGCCCGTGGTGACTGTCTCTAGGCAGGATTTCTTTTTAGAAGCTACACGGTGATTACGTTTAAGTGCACAAACCCGTCGAGCCCAGCAGATGTGCCCGAACGCAGGAGGAACAGATTCGCAGCAGCGCCTCTCCGGGCGAGCTATTCTTTGAGCACAATTATATATTCATTTTATTTATGGGATTTCCTCCATGCTGTTTCTGTTCTTTTTTATGTAGGGGCTTGGGGTTAAGACTATGCAAAGATCTAATTGTAGGAAATATAATAGTTTGCTTTCGGTTCCCCTGGGTCATGTTAGTATCTCTTAAAAACCTATGGCTGAAGAGAGATAATGGAATTCTGAACAGTAAATTGGGGGTTGTAAACAAATTATTTCCCCTATAATCAGATTATGTGATCCTGATTATTAAATCTGAACATGAATCATTGGTCATATGCGGGCAAATTAAACTGATTATTATTTGGAAATGAAAATCTCCTTTGGCCAGGATGCCGTTCATCCTTTCTTTTTTTAATGCCAGCTTGCCAATAGCTGCCCAAAGACTGAACTGCAAATTGAGATAAATGGCACAATTACTGAGCATTCAGAAGTGGAAGATCATAACTTCTCCCTGAAAGGTGCAAGGGTGAGATAGGGGTGGTGACAATTAAAGCTGGGACTTGTTGTTCGGGCTATTGTTGGCTATTATGCAAACAGACAATGGCTGTGAAGCATTTGTTTAGTGAGACTCCATGTGGGGACACGGCTTTGGTGGCGGGAAGGGAGATGTGTTTACATTTATACCCCTTGCTCATTCAAATATGATTAATGTTCTATAAAGCAGGGTCTTAATCGAAGCTGATGTTGTCAAACAATAACTAAATAGGGAAATAAACGACTCCATCATGCGCTTGCCTCAGAAGCAGGCGAACTGTCAGTGCAAAGTCATTAAAATATGATAATGAAAAATAGCTCAATTAAATGTTGTTATAGCTGTGACCTTCATTCAATTAAGACGCCAGAAAGTGTCTGCATTTTGCTTTGCATTTAACTGCCCTAAATTTAGAATATAGATAAAATCATTATTCAGTGGTTGCTGATATGTGCAATTAAAAAACCAACTAGATTAAAAAGAAAGAAAGAAACCCAGTTAAAGGAGAATGAAAATTCGGAGGTGGGGTGAGCCTGGAGACCGAGGCTCTCTCCTGGGCCAGTCTGCTGACAGGCAAGGAGGAGAGGATGCCCAGGGGAATAGGAGGGAGGTCTAGACAAGCCCTTTTTTTTTGTTTTTAAAGCCAGGAATTATCTTCCAGTAGAGAGGGGGAAGAGGTTTAGCTGCACGGAGTAAAGAGCAGCAGGATTTCACTGACCTCTGGGAACACCTTGGGCCCAGGCTGCCTGACTGCCCTGAGGCTGTCCTGTAAATGCAATCTTGGTCTCTAAGGCTTAAAGAATTCCACACCCGCCTCTAAGAAGGCACTCAGAGCAGGTGAATCACAAGCTGTCTCCCAACCTGAGGATGGTGGAGATAATAACACTAGCTAATATTCACCGAGTGATTGATTGCTGTGTGCCACGCACTGTGCTTAGTATTTTGCATGCATCTCCATTAAATTTCCTAACGATGCTTGGGGGTGGCTGTTATTATTACTCTCAGACAATTTGGATTATGGTACCCAGCCAAGCCACTGGGCTTCAAATTGTAGATCTGCCACTTAGCACTTGGATGACCTCAGGCAAGTTAATTAAACTGTCTGTGCTTAGTTTTCTCATCTGTAAAGTGGGGGTAGTAGAACTACCTGCCTTAAAGGATTGCAGTGGATTCTAAACCAGATTCACCGGGGTCCAGAATTCTCAACCAGGACTGACTCCAGAGTCAGTGTTTCTAGTGGATGCGCTGTGCTGATGGTCATGAACTTGCCGTGATGCGTCAGTGTTAAATCACACGTATGAGGCCAGACACGCTCTGGCCAAACCTGCTGGATGAGAGAATGAGTATTTTTTGATGAGGAAACCCCAGGGCAGTGTTTTACAAACTGCTTTGATGATGAATCCCCCCGCTCCCCTCAGGAAACACATTTCACATCAAATAAGTGTACTTGCATACACTGAGAATTTCCACAAGATAGTACTTTGACCCTTACTGTGGGCAGTGCATTTGGATACTTTCTATGATTTCACACTCATTAAAAAATGCCTGTCACACACACCTTCGACTCTGGTTTTCTGACCCACCCATGAGTCTGAAGCTGCAATTCGGAGGGCACTGCTTTGCTAGATCTTTAGAGAGAGGAGGCTGTGTTCCCGCACACCTACTGCGGGGGAGCCGTGAGCCGGGGGCACGGGGACCAGGCACCTGGGTTTAGGTTCTGGTTGCCTCCTTCTGTCTGATTTTCTGCCTCTGTTGGGTGTGTGCTTCCTTCGGGGACTCAGGTTTGGTTCCAGAACCGAAGAGCCAAATGGAGGAAAACGGAGAGAGGGGCCTCGGACCAGGAGCCAGGAGCCAAGGAGCCCATGGCAGAGGTGACGCCACCGCCTGTGAGGAATATCAACTCCCCGCCCCCTGGGGACCAGGCCCGGAGCAAGAAGGAGGTCCTGGAGGCCCAGCAGAGGTGAGGCTGGCTGAACCCAGGGCCTGGAGGGCTGGCGGGCACCCAGGATTGGGAACTCAGTGTGTCATTTTCCTTCACTGCCAGCCTGGGGCGAACTGTCGGTCCCACAGGGCCTTTCTTCCCCTCTTGCTTGCCGGGGACCCTCCTGAATACGGCCACGTACGCCCAGGCCCTGTCACACGTTGCTTCCCTGAAAGGTGAGTTTGGGCTCTGCTGCCTGCTGGTGCGGGGCGGGGGCTCTGCCTGCCTGCAGCGCCTCCAAGGGGATCATGGAGATGGTTTGCCTCTTCTGTTTTCTTGGGCGGGCCCATCCTTGCACCTCGGGCTGGTGTAGCTCCTTTTCTCCTTCTGTCTATCACAGCCAGGGTCACGAACAGCATCTGTTTCCACACATGCCATCTTGTTTGCTTTCTACATGGCCTGAGAGTGAGGGTGAATGTCATCTCACTGCACCAGCTGCGGAGTTGGTTGAGAGAGGGCTGTTTCAGAAGGGCCATTGCATGTTCACTGACTGCTGCCTCCCGTCGGTACCAGTTTTACGTGCTAGCTTGCAGCTCGTGGGTGAGGCCTGCGATGGACCGTTGTCCCAGCTCGTGAGGACCCTCCCCATATGTGCAGCCTCCCCACCTGCCTTCCCTGGGGCCTCCTGATGTCAGGGGTTAGGATTTGTGGTTTTCTAAGATTTGCTGTCTTCTCAAAGGCTGTGGTCGTCTGAAGGATGGAAACCATTTGGGGCATTTTTGTCAGGCCCAGAGAGAAGGACTCTGGTGGGGCTGTCCTTTGGGGGTTTCTGGGTCAACCCTACTGGATGAATGGGTCCATCCGGTGTCTTTCAATTCTTGGCCCCAAACTCACTCTTCCTGTGAGGAGACCAAGCAGCTGTGCTGGCCGGAGCAGCGCTGGGCCCCAGAGTTCATCTGGGGCAGTGAGTGCTAGTGTTGGGGTTTGTCCGTCACAGCCGGTCTGGGAGATGGGGGTGCAGGTGCGGGCTGCAGGCTTTTTCCCCATAATAGGCAGTGGGAGAGGCCCCCCCTAGGACGTTTCCTGTGTGCTCTGTTTTAGGGTCTGGGGTCTTCTGCCCTCGAGAGGTTCCCCCTCCTGCAGGTTGGTCTCGCACGTGCGTCTGCACACGGGCGTGCGCGCGCACACACATGCACACGCACACTGGCAATCTGCATTGCAAATGTAGTTTCTGGAGCCTGAATAAGGGCACGATGGAGCCTCTCTAGGGAATCTCCGAAGGGAGAGAAAGGTATTCTACGCACAGGGAACAACACGTGCAGAGTGCCAGGCGCAGGGAGAAGAACCAGGCTTGTCTGGAGAATGGCTGGTATGTTGGGTGCCCACAGGAGAGTGCCCAGAGGTAAGGTGGAGGGGCCAGAGCTTGCAGGCCTTGGATGCCGCACTCCTGCATTTGGATTTTCCACTGTAGGAGGAGGGACCCTGAGGCCTGGAGCCACTTCTGAGTGGTCCAGGCAGCTGGGCAAGTCGCCGTGCTCAGATGGCCGGCATGGGTTGATGGGGTTCAGCTCCATCCAGCTCTGCACCCCGTGCCCTGATAGTGCTCCCTTCAGCTCCAGGGTCTGTGCGCTCCAGGGACCAAGTAGAGCCCCCTGCCACAGAGTGGCCTTGGGACGTATTCACAGACACAATAGGCTGAGGGGGCACTGTGAAGATGGGGTCCCAATTGGAAGGGGCTTCCAGAAGGAGATTACCACTGGGACTTGGGTATCATTCAAGGAGCTGCTCTGGGCAGAAGAGCAATCCTGTGTCCATCTATGAAATCCTCTCTGCTTCGGTGAGGCCCAGCTGAGCTCCTGAGAGTAACCGTCTCTTTGATCAATGTCCTCTGCTTGCCCCACTCCAGCCACATGAGTTGAAGGTGAATCCCACGTCTCTTCGCTGGGGCAGTTGGGAGGGGTCTGGGGTAAAGCCCAGGCCCTGGTGGCGGCCTGAGGTGGCTGAACGAGTGGAGAGAGGGCCAGGCTGCTGGCAGGGAGGGTGGGAGTGCCTGCCTGCCACTGAGAGGCTGAAGGCACTGATAAGAGGGAGACAGAGGACAGAGCAGAAGGAAGCAGGGCTGGTGGGAGGGGCAGGTAAATCTGTCATTCTCCTCTTCTGCCTTTACTCGTATGTACTCCCCCAACCCCAGCACTTCCCTTGGGGCCTGACCTGTGCCTGCTTCGCTGGAAACAGACTTTCCTTTGATGGAGGGATGGGGCGTTGGGGTGTCAGATTCGGCGGAAGTGATGGAGATCATAGTGTGCTCGCCAAACCAGGGAACGTCTTTGTGCCTTGTGGTGGCACTTGCTCGGGAAGCTTGCACATCCCCACTGGAAGGTCTTCCTGGCTACGATCAGGGACACGAGGTGTGCTGGGGCACGTGACACACTCGGATAGTTCCAGAGCCGGGCAGGCGATAAGTGAAGCGAGTATGTGTGGACTTTGTCTTTGCTCCTCCAGATACACAGCCGTCTTGGTCTATATGTCATTCTCCCACTTGTGAGAAAGGGGTGGGGAAAAGGCACGTTTCTCTACGTCAGAAGCAGTTATGCGAGGAGCACGCTAAGGGGCTCCCTGAGATTCGGCAGAGGTGAGCTGGGGAGCATTTGCCCACTCCAGTGTCAACTACTGCTCACGTCAGCCGATGGTGGCCAAGTGGGTCTGTGGACCCTACATTGCCAGAACTATTGAAATTTCAGGAGAAGCTGTAAATCTGGATTTTTATTTGAAATAGTCCCATCTTTTGGCTCCGGATGCGCAGGCTCAGCGGCCATGGCTCACGGGCCCAGCCACTCCGCGGCATGTGGGATCTTCCCAGACCGGGGCACGAACCCGCGTCCCCGGCATCGGCAGGTGGACTCTCAACAACTGTGCCACCAGGGAAGCCCAAAGTAGTCCCATCTTTTAAATGCGACCTCCAAGTCTTTGGGCCAAATGGGCGCATCATTGGTCAGACCAGCCTGCGGACTGCCTTTCTGTGGGGGGCACTTCTCCACCCCTCCCATCTCTGCTTTCTGTGTTCTTCTCCCTGCATTCGTAGCTCCTCTTCAGGCCTCCCCCGGCAAAGTTCCCCTCCTGTAGCTCATCCTGACCCCTTTACCCACCAAGGCCCTTGCTATCTGGCCCCTCTGAGCAGCTGGATTTTTAGTCTCTGGCAAGCCAAGTGGTGTTGGAAAGGGAGGGAAATGAGTGATTATTGAAAACCTTTTCTGTCCTCTGCCCGGTGGTCTCACGTGTGGTCCCGTTTATTTCTCACGGTAGAGGAGAGTAGTAAACGATGTATCAGGGAGGCTCCAGAGCTGCACAGCGGGTCAGTGGAGCTGGGATGGCTCTGCGATAACAGCTGGCGTTGGTTGGGGTATCTTTGCATTCTAAGAGCTCCTGACCCTCTGAGGTGACAGCACAGCCTCGCTCCAGTTCAGGTGGGCTCAGCCGTCCTTGGAGACGCGCTTGGGGGACCTGCCTCTGGCTCAGAATCTGGGGTAACAAGCGTGTACCTGCAAGTCAGGTTCTGGGTGCCCCGGGATTCAACTCTCGATTGTTTTCTGGAACATTTGTTAAGTGGTTTGAGGCCTACATCTTGCAGACTCTTGCAGCCTACGTCTTCTTCTCCGAGGGTTCCCCAGCTACAGAAGTTAAGTGCATGGCCCAGTTTAGGCCCAAGAGAGGAGCAATCCCAATTTTCTAGGCCTGGCTCAGTGCCCGGGCCTCTGGGCTGTGACCTCACCTTCCTTTCCTGAGTTCACCCCCAGAGGTGGCTGGGCGGCCAGGTGCTGGCAGAGTTGGTGGCCTGAGCTCTGCTTCCAGGGGCCTCTGGCCAACCAGGGGGCCCCCTCAGCAAGCTGTGAGGAGCTTCACACACGTGTGTGCTAGAAGGCACACACCTGGGCTTCCATACCCATCCATCTTTTTACAAACGAGAAGCTGAGGTTCCTGGAGGGAAAGCCACTTGCTCACAGGTCACTCATATCAGCGAGGTCTCCCCTTTGAGATCTAGGCTGATCTCCACAGGATCCTGGTGTGCTCTTTCCTCCGGGCATGATTTATTCATTCATTCCTCTGGGTGGGCACCTGTTGGTAGGGGCTTTTGACCCCCACCCTGCTTCTGCCTGGCAAGTGAGGACAGCTGGCGGTCCACTGGGCATGAGCCCTGGGGGAAGAATCTGGACTCACCCAGAGCCCTGAACCATTGTGAGCTGAGCGCTGCAGCCCCTCCCAGCCCAGAGATCCCAGCCCACTTCTCCAGGCCTGAGGCAACTTGCAAATCATCAAGAAAGAATCAAAGTGAATTTCAGCTTCTGGACTCAAACCAGTGTTCAGGTTTCCTTCCCCAGGCTTTGTGGTCCTAGTGGGATCATATGGTCCTGGATTAAAGACAGCAGGTGTCCTGGAGAGGCCACCACTATTCTGGCCCTGCCCCAGACAGCACTCTCGGTGTCGATCCCGAGACTCCAGCCCTGAGACTCCAGACCAGGGCTTGAGGATCCAAGCCAAGGCTGAGCTGTGCTACACCAGCACCCGGCCTGGGTGTGAGGGGAATCCGGGCTCCCAGTGCCCAGGCAGGATTGGTTCTCCCTGCGGGCACATGGAGCCTCCCAGCGAGTGGTCCCAGAGCTAACTGCCTGCAGAGCAGTCTATAGAGTTACAAGTCGAAGGACTCCGAGTTGGGGGTCCTGGTCTTTCGGTTCTAGGTGTTGTTGTGACAGTTGTGAAGTCTCTTCCAGGGAAACATTGAGAGAGCCTCCAAGTGTGTTTGTAGGGGAGCCTGGGAGTTGTTGAGGTACGGTTTGCTGAATTCCTTTGAGTACCGGTCCTTGAACTTAGGTCCTCTAAGTAGTTGTTGAATTCACTTCCCTGGAAACATTTTGGCTTTGAATGTGCTCTGAAAACAAGGGCATTCTTGGAATATTGGCTATCAGCTCCTGGAGCAGGTGGCACTGGGGGGAGGAAAAGGGCAAGCAGGGGCAGATCGGGGTGCTGGATATAGAGGGAATGTGCTGGGGGGTGATGCCCAAGAAACTGGACTCCCAGAGCACAGAGCTGTGGGGTGTCATCAAGCCCTGCCTCCAATGTGAACGGCCGGGTGGGCTGGGCCCTGGCAGCTCCGTGACTGTGGCCCAGAACATGCTGGTGGATCTAGACTCTCTGCTTTTTTATTTTTAGATTGTGGGGGAAGTGGCCCAGAAAAGGTGAA